TTGTTGTAGTTTAATGTCTTAACTCAACTATCTAGATTTCGAATGTTCGACCTTTTTTTTACTTGTTGTGAGTTATATAGTACAGTTTTGTATAGATATATGATAGATAAAGAATATACTTGATTTTTCTATTTTACATTTAATTTTAAACTTGGAACTGTAAAAAATAGATATTGATTGATGAATCCTTAAAATTTATATTGTTCAAGAAAAATCCAGTAAGAAACTTAAATAACCTTTGTAACCATGTTCGACTCGGTCCGAATTTTAAATTATAAGTCTGAAAAAAATTAAATCGATCAAACTAGACTTATATATACACGAATTTTGTGGGTTCCTGATTCCCCCTGACTAGCTTATTCACATCTCTACCTAGCGCCGACTCAACATAATATAAGGCCTAGGAATTTTTTTTGTTTTGTTTTGAATGGCTTTTTAGTATACAATTGTGTCCTGATGAATTTCGTTTGGGAGGAAACTAAGCATGAACCTTTAACCTAGACCTCTATAACTAATCCCGGAGGTGGGCTTGGCAAATACAGTAAACAAAAAGTCTTGTCGAAACCTTAGCGACACATTTTATATAATTATCAACACCACGTTTGAAACTTAAAATAAACTTTGCTGTTTATTTTCTTAGGCAAATGTTTTCAAGAGTTAGTTTCAATCTCCATACGTACATAACTTCAGACAGTTCACCAATACAGCTCAAAATCTTTCAGAACAAAAATGTAAAACTGAAGTTTGTAACGGGAGCTAGAAACTAGACTAATTGAATCATTTAACCGTTTGACCAAAAATGACAGCTATATATCTTTTCTTTATTTCTGATTCCGGCTTTGTGACTAAAAATTATGGAGAGACAAGCAACCATATTAAACTAATCCTTTTTCGATTCTTGTTAGTATTTATTATTTAATATAATAAGGATCATCATAGTTTCACCAACATATATAAGTAAATTCAAACTTTTGATATATAGTACTGTATCAAAAAAAAGAACTATGCTATTTACCTAAGATATAAATATATTACATTATTAATATTATTTAAATTAATGAAGATCATGATTAATGCCCTTGAGCGAGTAAGTTTTACGGTTTTAGAGAAAATTTCTCGATTTGAATTTTGCAGATGAACTCTTTTTTCTAATGTGTACAGAAATTAAAATTATTTTCCTTTATAGTATCATTATATTGTCAGCCGTATTTGATCTAGTAAAATATTTATTTCCAATCGACTGATTCCTACGTTAAAATATATTATTCAGATTCTAATGTAGAAAATTGTTTGCTTGCATAAACTGGCTCAGAAATAATTTAGAAACAAACAAACAATCAGTTCTGTCTTAAACGATTTTAACATTATTTTAACCCTTTTTCACTAACCTCATTCAACTACATAATTAATTATGTGGTTTATGATCCACCGTGGATATAAAGTGTTGTCGAATTGAGGGAAAAGACAGACTTGGCTCACGTTCTTCAATTAATTGATTGTCTTTTAGTTTCATTGTTAATTAAGTTTCAATCATAACTAAACACCCCCAAAAAAAATTGTGGTACACAGTACACACGAGGCTTATTCTTTGAGACTAGAAAATAATTTAAATCATTAGTTTCATAATCAACCAATTTCAGCGCCGTTCGTACGTAATACATATATAGTCGGTGCCCGAAACCTCCGTGCTACGAAGCTTCCTCATACGTACTTAAGTATATGTATTTATTGGGGCATTAATCATTTGATGAATATGGGTTTTACCAAAACCTTAAGCACCATTAAATTCATATCATTAAGGGGAGGGAAGTTAACGTCTCGAGCGTCGAGAGTCATAATTAACTGATTAATATAATCCTAGAAATTGGAGAATCATGATCTAACTAGATTCCTACGTACATTTGGTACATGCATTTTACTTTTTCTGTCTCATTGTGACAGGGTTATAATTAACATCGAATATAACGTAGTACTATTGGTGCAGTTTCAGTCTTAAGCTTTTGTCTTTTCCAGATGAGACATGTGACAATAGGCTTTAACAAAATTATTAGTAGAAAATGAGGAAAACCCATTGTTTTTCTTATATTCTTCAGTTAATTCAACTATAACCCGAGCGTAACGGATCCTCTGGCTAAATTTCTCCATTTTTTACATATCAACAAGCTCCTCTCTTAAAAGAAAAAAAAAAATCCTCTTACTATTTTCTATAGTAATTAATACTCCCTCCGTTTCGTTTTGTTTATCGTTTTAGAGTTAAAATTTTGTTTCATAATAGTTGTCGTTTTAGGTTTTAGATGCAAATGTTTGGTAAAAATTCTAGTTTTATCCCTATTGTTTTAATGTTTCGGTCAATGAATTTTTTATAAAATATATTAATAAAGGGTAAAACAGAAAACTAAATACTTTTCTTAATTTGTATGAGAAAACCTTAAACGACAATTAAAACGAAACGGAGAGAGTATCATTTTGCAAAATAGCATAAGTGTTAAATTAAGTACAAATAGCGTACGTACGGTTTAAATTTCTGATTTAAAACGAAAAATATATATATATATATATATATATATATATATATATATGTGGCAGTGAGCAGTAAAGTGCCTTAATTATGAATTACAATTATCAAGGACCCAAATTTTGATACTGCCCAGTGCCCACCATTACGATTAATGCTAGTAGCTTTTTTTTGGTGTAAAATGGCGTAACATGGCTAGTAGCCTAGTAGCTTGCCTGAGAGCATTTAGACTATGGAGTTCTCCAGATACGAAATGGATTATGAGCTAATAATCAGGTGTTTTGGGTTATACACATATTAAAAACAATTATTTTAATATTATTTTTATATTAAATATTTTCTGATAACTATAAATCAATAGTAATCTAATAAATTTAATCATTTTATCTTAAATGTTACTATTTATAATATTAATCAATAAAAATAAAGATTTTTCTTAAAAAATTAATCTTTGTGAAACACAACAAAAACAACAAAAATGCTAGAACATGACATGGAGTATATATCAACAAATTATAATTGTTATTCCGCATCACCGTATTATCGTTTTGGGCAACATTTTGTTTTTTCTGGGGTCTAAATGGTAACCGAGGAATCTGGCTGAATCTGGCTGAATTGCTGAATCTGGCTGAATATATTTGTGTTTTTTTGCGGAATCCGACTGAATAATTTAAAATTCAAATGGTAACTGCTGAATCTGACTAAATTTTTTTTATACAACCCAAATAAATTTCTAAAATTATTAACAAGAGAACTTTATATATCTAAAATATTATAGTTAGTTTTATACTGAATAATAAAAATAAATGGATCTTAAATTTCATTTGAACTCTAAGTTAGATTCATTACCGAACGAACCTGAACCAAAATATTTTGGATACCTGAATGAAACCAAAATACAATTATATATCTAAAATATTATAGTTAGTTTTATACTGAATAATAAAAAATCTGAATAACCAAAAAATACTATACACTAAAAGTATTCAAAAATTTCTCGAAAATACCCGAAATGTTATTTGGGTAAGAACAAGAAGTAAACAATATTTAAAAAGTTTTGGTTCCTAATCGGTTCTTGATTCAAAAACCGAAACTTCCGAAATATTTGAAATCGAAATAATTTTTAACCAAAATTCTAAAATAAATGAATGTATACTAAACTCGAGAACCAAAATATCCAAAACTAAAAATTACATAATTGAAACCGAACCAAATACTTGAACATCCAAGGCTATCCACAAAATTAAAAAAAAAAAAAAACATAAACTATAAAAAAATATCAAAAATTATTAGTTCTTTAAAAATCCACTCATATTGATTTCCTCTCATATTGTTTGATTATTTTCTATTTGTTGAAGGTTTGATTAATTCAATATATCAAAGATTGAAGTGAGACCACTATGACAACAGATCAAAAATTCCTCAACAATTTCACATATACAAATGATGTAACATGTATTTTTTTCTACATGAATTCAACAGCAATTCCACAAATACATGTTACCATTTACAGCTCTGGTGTTTTTTTTTTTCTTCTTTTGGCCGAATTGCATTATAGTAGAAGAAGAAAAACAGTTTTAGCAAACGTAGCGAAGATAAAAGAAATTTGGTTACAGTTAGGATTTCATTCTTTTGATTATTGCCCTGATATGGTTTATTTGACTATGTTAGAGAATGCTAATGGGACAGGTTTTCCACGCAATATTCGTTTGTAATTCTTTTAAGTTAATTAATAAATTGTAGGGACTTTTGTCCCCCTCGCCTACAAAAAAATAAGAAATTTGGTTAACACTTTTTTTGGCTTTCTACTCAGTTAGTAGTATTTGTGTTTGTTTTTTTTTTGTGTGTATAAAAATAAAAACTAAATTTTTTTTTTTGGAATAGCTTAGAAGAACCTATTAGAGCTTCCAAAACTGTTTGAAAATACAATAAAAATAGTACGGTCCGCATTTATCTGTAACGAATTTCCTTACTGGATAAATTAAAGCATCTATATTTTTTAACAAAAAAATTCAAAAAAGCACATATATTAAAAATAATAGTTATGAACTTGTGATATATTATTTAGTAGTTTGGTGTAAAACGTATAATTCTAAAGTACTGCTACTTTCATTCTGATTAGTTTTGAATCTTTTGACAATAATCATATTACTTCATATATTAATTTCTTCTATCAAATAATTATTCTTATAGTTGTTAGAAATTAAATTATTAGACAGATAGGTTTTAAGACTAAAAAGTGATAACTATAAGTATTGACCAAAACAATGGGTATCTTTTATTGTTAAAATGTAGATTAATTGAGTGGAACAAAAGAACTAAATAGTGTTTTTACAATGATGAGCACTATAATAAGGATTAAGGAGGGCTTGCTTAAGTTAATCACATCAAGAAGAAAAGGCATTTTAGTAAATACAACTTCCGTATACGTTTGGTCAAGCTCTCTTTAATCATTTTTTCTTCACTCTAGCTATATATAACCTCGTCTTCCCCACAAAAACAACACACAACAATAACAAAGAACATAATAATTTTTTCTATAAATTCTCTTTGTTTTGTTAAAGCAAAACTTAGAAATCTGTTAGCAAAAGAAGAAGATATGGGAAACAGTTTACGGTGTTGTTTGGCTTGTGTACTTCCATGTGGAGCGTTAGATTTGATCCGTATCGTACATCTCAACGGCCACGTCGACGAGATCACTCGTCCAATGACCGCCGGTGAGATCCTTCAGGCGAATCCTAACCATGTCTTAAGCAAACCTTGTTCTCAAGGAGTTGTTCGTAAGATCTTGATCTTGTCCCCTGAATCTGAGCTTAAGCGTGGAAGCATCTATTTTCTTATACCGGATACTTCTTTGCCGGAGAAGAAGAAGACAAAGAAGAGAAAAGAGGTCCGTTGCCGGAAAAAGCCTCTTGAAAGCGGCAGTGACATTAATAGTGATCATATGAGTACTAATAAGGATCTCGATGGTCATTGTTTGACGTTGTGTGAGAAATATTTGGAAGATGTTATGTTGTCGGAGAAGATGAGTTCGGCCGGTAAAGAGAATCGTCACCGTCGGAAACATAGCCGGTCGGCATCAGTGTCCACGTGGCGGCCTCACCTTGATAGCATCACTGAGGATCTTAATTAATTAGTAGTATTTTTTTTTTCACTCTTCGTTTAATTGTCTCTATTTTCTTATATTCTTTTTTTTTTTGGATCCGGAAATCGGATTTTTATTTAACATTCCCGGGGAGAAAAATTTCAAATATTTTATTTATTTTGAAGTTAAAAACAAAACTATGTAATGTACTCATGTGGATAAGATCTATGGTACATTGATATATGTTCTACTTTCAGAATGTGGCAATGAGGACAAGATTCTAAGTTAAGATCATATGACCATTATCTAAAATTAAAACTTTGTAAGCATATGTAAACTGGATCTTATATGACAGATATCTAATTGTATAGTACAATTAGGATCAAATTTCGAAAATGCAAAGAAAAATTCATGTAACTGAACCAATAGTATATGAAAATGGTAAAATCGTATTTTGGTAACAAATTACTAATTCAATATTTGTTGAGATCAAGTGAATAATTAATATGTTGTTAGATGTCAAGTAATAATGGAAGAGGTTGGAATTTAAGAAGAATTAAATTGAAAATTTTCAATTATAAATGGGTTGGGGTTGATGACTTTCATTAAACTGTGGTCATTATAAAATCAAAAGAATTTAAATCATACTTTATATAAGAAGAACTGCATGTTCAACTGTAATGCAACGTATTTAGACCAGATAAATTTTTTAAGTTTCGGTGGTTAATTATTTATTGGTAATAATGCGAACTCGAGACGGCTGATTAATTAAAGGGCCAAAGATAGAGTGTAGACACGTCAGGTAATCATGTAAGGTCATCACATGCAGATGTAGCCATGTAGGTGGACCAATCGATAAGTCTGTGGAACTGAAAAACAAACCATATGTTTTCAAATAATATTAAAGTTTCAATCATATAAAGTGCAAAGCAAGTTAATGCTAGTATTCACTATATATGGACAAATAATAATATAAAAGGTCACTAAACCAAAACAATGATTAAAAAAAAATCTGTAAAATTTAGTAAAGGTATATATTGGCTTTGAATGGTACTCCAATATCAAAATGGTACATGATGTTAAGCTTTAACAATTTACCAATCATAAAATATTTATCAAAAACGTTACTAACAGTTTTACTCTCAGTTTTTTTTTACAGCTCTTTCTTATAGTTTACAGCTCAACTATTCCGATAAAGCTTACAGCTTAAGCTAATAGCTAAAAAACTTGTACAACTTTTGGTTACTAGTCATACCCATTACAAATCAATTTCAAAGTACCGGAGACTCTTTAGAAATATATATATATATATATATATATATATTTATTTATTATAGAGAAACAAACAAACACATACATTTAAATAGTATTGTCAAAAAATGTACAATATAATTGCAATATATATATTCACAAAATTAATTAATAATTTTTTTGGTTATATAGTAACTTTATTCCCGTTCTTAAATTATTATGAGCACTTAAGGTTAGTTAGGTTCCTAATAAAGTTATTTTGGTTCAATTATATATATATATTTATCATATAACTAGTTAATACAATATTAAATAAAAATTAAAACATTATCGCGGCCAGCATGATTTTCATTCTAATTTATTATAATTGACATTTAAAAAAAAAATTGATGTAAATATCATCATATAAAGTCATATAACATATATATGATAAATAGTAAATCATATGTGAATAAAAATGTTGGCCTAGATCCCAACAAACACTAATGAGTAATCAACGTAGAGAATATCTTATTATTTATTCAATAATCAAATATTGTTAGTTATTCAAGAACCACTAGGTGGATATACGCCTTTACAAAGGCCACGGGTGCACGCACACATCTTTGTTGGGCCAATTCCGAAACATTTTCCGTAATTATAAGTTTCACTACGACAAACTTTTTGGCATAATGAGTCGCCATTTTGTGCACTACATGTCTTAGAGGTTCACAGTGTATGGCTGAAATAGGTGGTTTCCAACTATATGATTCTGGATTTACTGATATACTAGTTGAAATCAACATGGTGATCATCACAAAAGTGATGAAACTAACAAATCTTTTACTTTTACCGAATTTTATCTTCTTAATATATTTTTTTTTGTTTTTTTTTTCTCTGGTTTGATGGAATATTTTATGTATACAATCATTCAATTTTTATTTATAAAGAGTTTTCATTTCTATTTTTAGATATAAACAAGATAGTCGTCCCGTGATAAAATGCTCAAAGAGAGGAAGAATACAACATATACCATGACCACATATTTCTCTCATTCCTTAGCTATTTTTAGTATATAAGAAAAAAAGAAAAGAAATAAGATTTCTTCCAAAATACAACATCTTACTATATTAATTGAAAAACATTTTTAATATAAAACCTAATTCTCCCATGTGATTTACAATATTGCCATGTTGACTTTTCAGAAATTTATAGTTTAAATAATTAATTACCCAGTTATTACTAAATTAATTACCAATGTATTATGATATTCTAATTAATTCGTTATATGGGACGCAAGATTTTTAAATATTCTAATTAATTCATTATATGTAAAGGATCAATTTTGATTGGCCAAATATAGAATATGCTTAATGGATCACTATATGTCAGATATAGAATTATGTTTTTTTTTAATCATTCTAATTCATTATCACTAATTACAAATGTGCAACCATACACTTTAAACTTTAACAACATCGTGAAGTGATATATTAATGCCAACCATCGATTTTACTTCATCTTTTTTTTGGTCAAAGTTTAGAGTTTTTACGTTCCTAGATCAGATAAATCATCATAAGGTTAAAAAGAATGCGAATTAGTTATGAAGAAATTTGTTTTTTCTTGCTAACGTTATTGGGTAACTTAAAAGCTAGGTGATGGAGACATCTACAAGTTAAAAAATGGAAAACATAATTATAAATCTCTTAAAATATAATAGAAAAATAAAGAAAATGAAAGCTGGCGAGGGCATATGATTCGGCTGCTACCTTCACATGGTTTCCCATCCTAATGTCCCATCTCTTCTAAACACCCATCTTTTCGTTCACCACTTTTTTTTTTTTATTGTACCGGAAATAAAAACTTCAAATTTAGATGGGTTCTTCTACGTTGTAAATCAGTGATTTCAAAAGGTTTCTTATAACCCAAAATTTATACAATTGTGATTGGTTTCTACATCTCTTTGATGTGTGTCAAAGTGCATCTTTCTCTTTTTGGTCCTTGTTGTGCTTTGTCTCTAGTTGTTATGTTTATTAAGCTGTTTTTTTCATTGATCTTATATTCTCCTCAAACTGATGGTGGATGGTAAGTCAACACCAAATTTGTTGCCGAGAAAGAAAAACTTAGGTTGTTAGAGGTAGAGAATTGGTGAAGATATCCACTAGATTTACATTTTCTCAGATATTGTGACATTGAATACGTATGTCCTAGTATTAGAGCATCCTTAACACAAAAGCACTTACTCATAGTAGCGCCAACAAGCCCAATATTATGAGATAAATAAGTCCATAGGTTATATATATATATCAATCTAAATTCATTGTGTTTTTGGTGAATCTTAAGTTCATTTCTTTTTCCCTTGCCCAAAATAAAGTTGTCGTAGTCTATTTCATTTTCTTATTTTCAATCTCATTTTTTCTATCTAATAAAGCTTTAAGAGCTTGAGTCTACTAGCTTTGGATTCTCCTACACCTAGAAGTGATTATCAAGCATCTCATTTGTTGTTAGGACTAGAGAGATTGTCACAGTACGTAGAGGATACATAAAAAATAGCAGCCGTAAGCTGAAACTATGTACTAATATATGCATGCGCTAATCTTAGTTATAGTTATAGCCTTTAATTATTTTGTGTACCTGTTGAAAAATATATGAATTAACTACGATGATAGTTCATAATGCAGCCTTCGATCTATATGAATATAGTATGTCACATAGTTCTAGTTTTCCAACACATAAAACCCTTCACGCATGAGTTTAAGCAAAATATGTTTTATTTGCTACGTTGATCTCTTATTGATATATGTCAATAAAACAGAAAAAGAACTACACTATAACATAATGATCATCCTGAGACTCAACTCAAGATCCTAAATGCTTCTAGCTAGCTCTTAGATACACATATGTATAAATATTTCTAGTTATGAACTTATGATAAAAAAAAAATGTCACTAAATCCATGTGATTCCAACAGCCGTAGAAGCTGAAACTATATATGCATCACAATAAATCCATGTACTAAACACACTTACGACTACAAGAATCATTTGAACATACGGACTGGATGGCGGATGTATGAATGTGAAAGGCATGGGAGTGGGTTTTAGAGGCTTGTTGTAGTTAGTACGTATATCTGTATTACAAAGCTTCGATGGACCAAACGCTCCAAAGTCACGTAAACAACGCAACTGAGCCATTGAGGGCAATGCTAACAACGCTGGAAACGTGGTTTGCTTGTATATTGCTAACAATCCTCGAAAAGTGGTTCAAGACAATGATGACGTGTATGCAATATTCAATCATCTTGGGGTAATTCCAGCGGCTAGTAGAAGCTGAAACTATGTACTATATTGCATATATACTTTAATCTTATTTGTAGTTATAGCCTTTTATTATTTTGGTGTACATGTTGAAAAATATATGAATTAACTATGATGACATATATCATAATGCCGCCTTCTTAGCCGTTCCTAGAGATACGGAGGCCGGAGGAGGTATTTAAAACAAAAACTTTTAAAATAACAATTAAAATTCTACTTGAATAAAGAATAAAAATAAAACAAAATATTTAGTTTAGAACATAATTTTCTATCCCTTCTTTATTATAAAATGTCGGGCATTACTATATTAATCGTAGAATATGAATATATTAGTAATAGTAATTTGTGATTTCAAGGTTTGATTTGTTATGTTCATTCAGTTTTTAATTTAAAAGACCATATAAACTATACCCAAGATTATAAGTATCACGTTGTTTCAATACAAAAAGTGAGCCTTTAATTATTACAATACACAAAAGTATATGACGTCTTTACAATTTTTCCAAAAAAAAACTGGCCGTAGGCGAAAGTTTCATTTTGCCTCACATAGCCACGGCTCTACTTATATATATATATGAATATAGTATGTTACATAGTTCTAGTTCTCCAACACAAAACCATTCACGCATGAGTTTAACCAAAATATATTTTATTTACTAAGTTGATCTCTTATTATTAATAAAAAAAAAAACTACTATAACATGATGACATCCTCAGACTCAACTCAAGATCCTAAATGCATCTACCTCTTAGATACATCTATGTATAAATATCTCTAGTTATAAACTTATGATAAAAAAAAATGAATGTTACTAAATCAAGTTTAAGTCACTTGGAATTCCTCCTCTAGTGTTTACCGAGATCAATGGTAGTGAAACCTTCTTCAGCGGAGAAACGTGGTTGCATTCCAGTATCTCCAATCTTCTGATGCTCGACGTTAGGCAATTTATAACTATCGTCCATGGCCAGTGAGTCTCCTTGCTGCTGATGAACGACAAGTACGGAGAAATGAAAATCTGGCGACGTCAACATATCTCCGATCACACCTAACTCAGGGCACTCACTCCAGTCCGTGAGTCCGTACAAGACCGAAGACTCTAGGTCATGGTCTCGCCCTACTAACACCATGTCATAGGAATCTCCAAGTGAGCTAATCACTTGTGTAGTCTCCACGCCATCTCTCACTATCTCCTCCACGTAATGAACTTTCCCTTTGTTCGCTGCATGGCTCTTGAAATCGCATATTAGATTGTACTCAGACATGTCACTGTAATCCTCGTCTTGAAGAGCGCTCTTGTGACGGAAATGTATCATCGTAACGTTAAGGTCCGGTTTTTCAGCCATCCTCATGCATAACGCTAGCGCTTCCGCGTCATCCTTGCCTCCGATGAAGAGCATCGCCACGTTATGCCACGTATTGGTCATCAACACGGAGCGACGTCCCTCGGTCTCTCCTCGGTCTATGAATATTGCGACCGAACAAGGTGCCGCTTCCAACACGTTAAGGTTTATGTTCCGGATGGGCCCGTTGACTTGTCCGACCGTTCCGTCAATCGCGTACTGCTTGTGGAACGGAATCACAATTAACGTCGCCTTCTTGTCGAGCGCAAGCGTACATACGTCGTTGTTTATACTCGAGTAAGGCGCGGCTGCGGTAAAGTGTTGCGCCATGAGAGCTCCCTGACATAAAGAAGACAAGTATGTATTATTATCATCTATTTATCAATCTGCAAACGCAAAAGCAGAATTATTGATCTCTTATATGATGAAAAAAACGTTTTCGCTGTTTTACCTGGTACTTTTGCTCGAAACGCTGGAAGGCGTTGACGATGTGAGTGGACTGGGCCGTATTAGGGTCAAGTTTGTTCATCTGATGGTGCGGTGTAAGGACTGCATGAGCTCGGCCTTTAAGCTCGACGAGATGCAAAGTAAAGAATGAGATCGGGTTAAACCGTGTCGGGTAAGTAGCTTCTAGAAGATTCACCATAGAAGGAACGTTTTCAACATTGTAGAGGCCAAGGAGAAGACGTAGCTGAAGATTGTGTTGTCTCGTGTTGAGGATTGTTCGTTTGCTTTTGCTTTTATAACGTTTTGAAGGGTCGTAGAGGTACACGACGAGAAACCGCGAAATCCCAGTTACCAACAAAATCGTTATGATCACCAGATTAAAGCATTCTGTGTCAACAACCTGTAAAACCAGATTCAAATTTTTTTTACCTTTAAGTTAAAAGAAAATTTACGTGAATAGGAAGAAACATATATTTCTATAATATTTGCTAATTCTTAACCAAAACCTAACTAAAAAACAAATTAAGCAACGTCTATTTATTTTCACCTGAGCGTCTTTCCACACGATAGTAGTGTAGACTTCAATGATACCTTGGCAACACATCAAGAAGGCCAAACAAAGCGCGTCTCCGATCTGCGTTTGGCAGTAAGCAGACGCAGCCGCTGTTCCAAGGAACTTGCATCCATAAGTGATCAAGAGAATGATCTCAATCATTACCACATGGTGCTCATGGCTCTCTGTGATCTCAAAGAAATTTGTTTGCAAACCACTAATGGCGATGAAACAGGGGAGGAACAAATTCGAAGCAAACATCTCGAGTTTCGCAGCAAGTTCCGTGCCTAAAGGCGGACCATCAGGGAGAGAAACGCCTAACCAAAACGCTCCAAACGCAGCATGGACCCCCATGGCCTCTCCGCTAAGGCTAGCTACAGATAAAAGAAAGAGGACCGGGAAGAACGGTACAACGTCTTTCTTATCCATTGATTTGCTTTTCCTCTGGGTGAGCCATACTATTATAGGTCTAAAGACGAAATATATCACCAGAAGAAGACCTACGATCATGAAAATCGCGTAAAGGCTAGTCATCGTCCGCTCACGCGTGTAGAGATTAAACGCGAGAGCGACGAACCAGCTACAAATTTCGCAGACCATTGAGCAGTGGGTGGCTAACCGACCTAGCTCAGAGTTAAGGATGTTAAGTTCAGCTAATACCGTGGTTGTAACCGGAAATGAAGTCATCGAGCTCAAGGAGATCGCGCTGCTTGTACAGCTAATCACGTCGCTGGGAAGTCCCATAGTTTTACTAATGAACAAAATCGTAAGGTTCCCAAGCGAGAACGGGAAGGCGTAAGAGGCTGTACCAATGAGGATGGCTTTAGAGCCAGCTTTTCTGATAATACTCCCATCGATTTTGAGTCCGAGGAGGAAGAGATGGATGACGAAACCGACGTTTGAAAGCGTTTGTATAATGATCTTGCCTCCAGCGGGAAGAAACATGTTCATGTATCTCACATTGTGTCCTAAGAAAGACGGTCCTAAAACAACACCAGTCTATACATATACACACAAGAAAATGTTTCAAACACACATTTTTCGCAATAAGAGATAGTGAATGTAGTATTTGAAAGTTATACCAAGACTTGAGCAGAGATCATTCCTTGCTTTAAAGGTTGAAGTACACGGAAGATAAGCCTAGAAGTTACGATGATGACTGACATTTGTAGCAATAGAAGAGGCATTGCGTATTTGAGAGGGTCACTCTTCATGAAAATGCCTTTTGAGGTCAACATGTTTTGTGTCTGGCACACAAGCTCTTCCAACATGAATGGACCGTGCACTTCGCCCAATTGCGACGAGTTGATATCGTCTCTGCCAAACGTCGACAGATCCATGGTCTTTATTTATCTGTAAAACGAAGAAAACAAGTAGACAGAGAGAGAGAGAGGGAGATACTAGGTTTGGGGAACTATCAAGGTTATGTTTTCATTTTTTGATGAGAAAATGTAATGGAGAATGAGAGAAAAAAACAGAGGACTCTGTTTTTACTTGTGGCTATGAAGGCTAACTTCTTCTTATCAGTAAATACACAAAAGAGAGATTGGTTCTTAGACTTTGGTGAGGTCAAACAGAGAGAGAGAGAGAGAGAGAGAGGTATGTATGTGAGAGAATGTAGAAGAAAGAGGAGCCTATATTTGTTGTTTCCATTTATTGTTTATTTCTATTTTTATGTTTGGTTGATCTTCTTTCCTCATAATCTCCACCGTTCTAAATTTGTGGTTTTGGTTTCACTTTTAAGTTCTAAAAATAAATTAAGTTCTCACACAATGTTAATGCTATTCTGATATTGAATCTTAATGCTAGGCAAAAGAGAAGACAAATCTGTCTTGAGTTAAAGCTTTGATCATAGTTTCTTTTTCTGAAGATGTTCCAGTGAATAATTCCCTACCAAGACGCTAAACCCTGAATAACATTGTAATGCATTCATGGCCGCATAGTGTTAACCAAGAACCAGTAGTCTCAACACAAGAACCAACTACATTTAGATAATCAAAATCTCAAGTATTCAAAGTAATTCAAGGTGAATTAAAATTACTATCAGAATAGCTGATTATCATATCAAAATCAAGTAATTTGCAACCAATTCCAAGACAATTCAAAGATCATACACGAACTAATGAAAATTGATATAGCATCAATTATATCAACAAGTTGAAGCAATACAATCATAAAAAAAAAAAAGACAGGTGAGCTTTGTATCAAGAAGTTCTTTGGATCTCCAGCAACTACAGAGCTTTATTGTTTATGTCTGCGAACGAATCTTGTTGATTTCAGATTTAGCGTAGTCAAGTTGTTTCTGCGCAGAGGTTTTCGCTTTCTCGGTAGATGTGAGGAAGAAGAGGTTGCCGTTTTTCTGGTAGACACTTCGAGAAGAAGAGAGACTGCTCAATTCATCTAACGAAACCTCTTGCCTCTTTATCTCCTTCTCAAGCTCGAATTCGCGACCCGACGAAGAAGACGAAGTTGTAGTCGCCATTTTTTTCTCCGGCTGTTGCGGCTGCGACACTAATTTTCTTAGGTTTTCTACAAGGAATAATAAATGTTTGATTATTAAAAAGGAAAAATTGGTAAAAGCCAGAGTCCCACATCGGAAACAAGTTTTGAGATGAGGATTTTGTTCGGGTATAAATAAAGAGGCTTTGGAGAGACGAAAACTTATCTTTGCGCTTGGGGCAATGACGCAAATAATTCTATGTTGACTACTCATAATTATCATCATCAAACATAATTAAATAATTCTCATAATTAAATAATTATGTTGACTACTCATAATTATCATCAAACATAATTAAATAATTCTCTCTCGTAAAGATTTTAGCTTCATCAAACATTTCTGAAACATGATTTTTCTGTTTATCTTCTATGTGCCCGAAGCCTTAAATCCCATTCCCGTAGATAATGATGAAGCACCACCAAACCAGAGAAACCTGAATCCTCCTTTTTATGTGAACCAAAGTGATTCTCAGTTGTTGGGCCACTCAACTCAACCGAGTCTGAGCAATCTTACTCCTTTATCTCCTGCTCACAGCAACTCAATACCTCCATCTCCGGTGAGGATTCCTCCGTCACCAGATCTCGCAATCCAACCAGAAGAACAACGTAAACCGGATGAGTCTCATCAGGCGCCAAGTCAGAGGAATCCAACTCTTCCCTTTCCGATGATCCAGGGAGTTTCTCAGTCCCCGGATTCTATTAGGTTTCCATGGTATCGAGAAAACGAGTTTGTGGCAGTGGAAGGTGCACCACATGGCCCGCTTCCTCATGAATTCCACCAAATGGACCGTCTAAGCTTATGCGTCCTAAACTATTTATTTGCTGCTGGACTAAGCTACACTTCATCATGGACGCAACGCCCAAGTCTCAGTACCAGCATCTATATCCAATGCTTTCTCAATCAGCTGGCGTTCTCTCTCTTCCTCTTGGCCAATGCCGTGTTTCCCCGAACACATCCACTTTTGGCTTTCACTATAGATCGCCTCTCTTTTTTACTGATCGTAATCTCAGGTTACTTAGCTTCTATGCCCATGTTTCCTCCCTATGCTGCTATCACTATGTTCTTAGTTGTTGTTGTTGTCTTCATGTTTTCTCATCTCAGGGCTTTTAGACCTTGACACGTACTCTTAATCATATACACAGTGGTTTCTTTTATTTAACACTAGGGTTATACGCGGGTGAATATATGTTATGTTATGTTGTGATTTTTATATTTATGGAATTTCTTTTCTCAATAAAGTAATCTTTATTCAAAGTGAGATTTAATTTATGTTTTTAAAAATATACAAGTCTACCAACTATGTACTGTATACAATATTACACGATAAGAAGATTAATATATAAACTTAACAAAAAAAAGGATTAATAAATAAATGTGACCGTACCCAAATAAGATGTATCCCAATGACCCAATGTATAAGATGTATGCGTGTGATAGACATGTTTCAGTATCGTACATTAACCAAATAGAGGACTTTTAATAAAAAAAAAGCGTTTTTGTATTTACTAAAGGATATTTTTGTTGTTGCTACTTATGTTTAACAAAAGTGATGTGTAACTATTTAGTTGCGGAGGTTTGATTGCACAAAATTAAGCTTAAAGGTAATGTTGTGGTGTACCAAAAACCTAGTAATTGAAAATGAATCCAACATCTTCATTATTTTTTTAAAACAAGAGAAAGAAAAAAAAAAGATAGAATTATTTAAAGATAATTACAATATGCTTCCTATGATAACCGGGTTCATCAGTCATGCAAGGTATATATATATTGGTCAAGGTTTCATGATTATCTTATCCCATACAAATCGTTTACATGTATTTATTTAATCTCTATGAAAAATTAGTAACATCGGAATGATTTTGCGGTCGATCAATTTTGAATTTGATAAATGCATTGCATGTGATGTATTTGTTCGAGTATGTCCTATACATTTTCCTGTTTTGAATTGAAGTTGGAAAATAATATTTGAAAGAAATGATTACTTAATTACTATATTGATTTTGGAATATGTATATTTTGTGGTAATTATATTGAGTATTGTCCAAAAAATTGTTTATCATCAATGACTGAAGAATATGAAATTTCCACTTATAATCGTCACAAATTGAATTATAATCAAATAGCTTTGGGTCGTTTACCAATTTAAGTAATTGACGATTGCACTATTTCTCACAATTTATAATTCACCTCAAACAAAAAGGGGCCGGTAAACCCATTAATTTGATTAAAAAAGAATTCAAAATTGTTAAACTATATAAAAAGTTTAATAAAAATACTTGTATTATATTTATATAATATTATTAAGTATTGAGGCACATTCTTTTAATATAATATATTCGTAATTGCTTTCTTGAAATAGATAGATTGAAAATACACTTTAAAATATTAAAAAGAGAAATTGTCTAATAATTGTATATATATCAATTCATATATATTAGATTATAATTTGACTATTACCATTTCTTGTGGCAAATCTTAACGGGTTGTGTACCGGTTACGGAAAATTTGCGGAAAAGAGGAATAGATTGTGACACAGGATGTGCCAGATGTGGTGCATCAGAGGAAACGATCAATCATACACTCTTTCAGTGCCACCCGGCACGACAGATTTGGGCGCTTTCACAGATTCCAACGGCTATGGGAAATTTTCCCACATAATCTATTTTTGCGAATTTGGATCACTTATTTTGGAGGATACCTTCGGATTTCGATTCATCAGCTTTTCCATGGATCATCTGGTATATTTGGAAAGCAAGGAATGAAAAAATCTTTGAAAATATAGACAAAAACCCGTTAGAGGTATTACAGTTAGCGGAAGAAGAGGCACAATTGTGGCAGTTAACTCAAATTGAGCTTCATAATGAAAATCACGGTTTTATGGAATTGGTCACTCGATCTCGAGTGAGGGATGTTTCACTTGACTCGAATTATTCAGGACACCATTGTTTTGTGAATGGATCGTGGAAAGAAAGTGATAAGTTCTCCGGTACATGATGGTTCTGTACATCATCAAATGGAGAGCCGCCAACCATGGGAGCTGCCAACCTCCGTAGAAGTCTATCTCCACTACATACAGAAGTCGAGGCCCTTCTCTGGGCGATAAAGTGTATGATTGGTGCAGATAATCAAGAGGTAGCGTTCTTTACAGACTGTTCTGATCTGGTGAAGATGGTGTCTTTTCCAACCGAATGGCCGGCGTTTTCAGTGTATTTGGAGGAATTTCAGAACGACAAGGAAGAGTTCTCAACTTTCTCTTTATCTTTAATTTCTCATAGTGCTAATGTTAAAGCGGATAATCTGGCACGAAAAGTTCGTACAGAACCGCTTCATATCACATATGTAAACAACATTTCCCAGGAATAGTTCTTTTGAGCTCTAAGTAGTTTCGGATGACAAAAAAAAAAAAAAAAAAAAAAAAAAAAAAAAAAAAAAAAATTGACTATATTTGATACATATTAAAAACAAATTTCCTCGTTAAATGAATAAGGTCACGAAAAGGATTTCAATTTTCTTTTTCTCTTGTTTTAATAATATAATAGATTCGCATAGACCAATATGCATGATTTGTTTTTAGCTTTTCTAGGATCTGGTTTTCTAGTAGGAAGTCTAGACCAAATCCCATTTTGTAGCGCTTTTTTTTTTTTTTTTTGTCATCCGAAATTAATTAGAGCTCAAAAAAGCTATTTTTGGGGAATGTTGTTTACAAATGTGATAAAAAAAAAAACTATTAAGCACCACTCTGTACAAAACAAAGTATTGACTGTGTAACAAACAAATAAACAAACTGTGAATGAGCACAAAAGATAAGCCATAGTAAGAGTATTTTTTTAGAAAGCCTAAATGATATTACTAGTGACTAAGTCCCAAGAATGTTGTTTTTCATGAGCGACGTAGCGCGGTTGGGATATCGTGGTTGTGTCTTCCTTCATAGGTAGTGAGAACAGCTCTCTCGTCTGCTGCAGATCTTTCCACTTGCTTCCTCACTCCACAACCTTGGTATGTGCATTTGTAGTAGCTCCTGTACAACAAAGATAGTGATTAAAACACATGAAAAACAAGTTGGAAATTTAAGAAATTCAGTTTTCTATAACCAACCTTGGATTAGTATTTCCCTTGACAACTTTTTGACCATATTTCCTCCATCTAAAGCCATCTATAAGAACATCAATATCACTTATTGTCTGAACCACAACTCTTGGCTCTTTCACTCCTCTGCTTACTTCTATAGACATTCCTTCATCTTCACCTTCTCTTTTCCTGTCACCAAAACTCAAAAATGTCATTTTCAAACCCAAGAACAAACCATTTGATTCCTCTAATTCAAAAAAACTACTTACATTCTCTTAATCTCAGGTTGTTCCTCCTCTTCATCAACCTCACCATATTCTGATTTAAAGGTTTTCTGCTCAAGATCACTATAGTCAAACGAAATCGAAGAGTTCTCTGATTGATCATGTGGTTCACTAACAACAGAAGCAGGATTAAACAAGCGCCTCCCATTAATTGATGATGGTAATGAAGATTGTGATGGTCTCTTGGTGAACTCAGGCTTAGGATGATTATGACCACCTTTATAAATGATCTCAGTGATCTGTCCATCAGAAGCCGTCTCAACAATCTTCTTGGAAACACAATCAGGATACGTACACTTGAAGTAACTCCTAGGGTTGTCGCTCTTCTTCACTTGTTTCTGACCGTATTTTCTCCAACCATAACCATCATTAGAGTTCCTACTCACCATGTATGCTGGTATCTTAATCTGACGATCTGATCCAAAACTTTGATTGTTGTTTTGTGTTGCAATCTCATGAGGAATCATCTCCTGCTTCTTCTGGTGATCTTGAACACCAAATGTTTCTTGCAAAGCCTGGAAAATAACAAAAAACGAAACAAGTTTGATTCATCAATACAAGCAAGTGAAGATGTTTCAAAACGCTAATAAAGGAAACACATACAGAAGAAGCGTTTGAGGGTTGCGATTGAAGCTGCCAAGGAAAATGATCCGAGTGATTGTTTGTTGTTCCATTAAAGCCTTGCAATGGAAACGTTCCTGTTGTTGGAGATATCAAACTCTGCAAGTAAACAAGACAAAACACAAGCCAGAGATCAAAAGATTGTTTTTTTATTTCATTTCTGCAATAAATAGATGAAACTATTAATAAACATGGAAGCTTTATTACGTGTGAAGAGCTGAGAAGCAGAGGAGAATCAAGGAAATCGGAGAAAGTGAAGTTATGTGAAGATGGTGAAATCGGAAGAGGAGGTGGTTGAGCCGTCTTGAACTTAGGTAAACCCGACCCGGTTCTCTCTTGATAATACCCACCAAAAATCGACCCGGAAACTCTCAAGTCTTCATCATCTTCGTAACAGTCAACGCCGGAAGATTCAAGGAGGTCGGTGAAAGAAGTCGAAGACATGATGGTTTTAATTAAAGGAGACAACTTTAAGATTTCAGAAAACAGAGGATTCGCTAAAAGAAGAAACTTTTTTATGAAATTGATCTATGAAATGAAAAAGAGGATAAAACTAAAAAAGATGTTAACAGAGGATTTTATTAGATTGGGTAAAGACGACGACGTTGGCGTATTGAGCAAGGTGTTTTTTTCTCTCTCTCTCTCTCTCTTTTCTTGTCTTTTTCTACTTGGCCTAAATATCATTTTAATATTTATATAAAAATGGTTGACCAGTAAGATATTCTTTTTTGATGAGTCGTCTCCTAAATTGTGATAAATCGTCAAGTGTGAAACCGCGTTTTAAGGGTCTCTTTCAATGATTAAACCAAACCGGATTAATCCGTTAACCAATAGATAACCGTTGGTTATACACATCAGGTTGGTTGGTACAGAATCGTCTTAGAGGACAACAAACAAACAAAAACAAAACTCACTATTTCTTGGCAAAAGAGATGACCATTGGATTCTGGGGAGTGATTTTGAAACCTTGAAGAGGTTGCATAGCTATGGAAGCTTGAACGTCGTCTTCGTACTCCACAAACGCGATTCCTGGTTTTGCGTCGATCATTCTTATCTCTTTGAATCCAGGATACTGTTCGAAGAGAAGCTGAAGCATCATGCTTGTTGTCTCGTGTGGGAGATTCTGAATGAAGAGTATGTTGTTTGGTGGCATCGCTTCTTGCCCGCTCGGTGGGAAGGATGGCTTTATTAAGAAGCAGAAGTAAAACGAAAATCATCAACATCATCTCCAGAAACAATAGAATATATATATATATAAATCATGTTATGGAGAAGGTTCACATGATGCAACAATGAAAGATTGTTCTGAAGATGAAGGTGAGAACAAGAACACTTACCGCAGGGACTCCGTTATTGGCACTTGGACCATTAGCACTTGGGCCATTAGCCGTGTTTGGTCGTTGGGATTCTTCACGCTTTCTTTCAACTGAAAGTAAGAAATGTAGTTTGTTAACTTCAGATACAAATGAACTTTTTTATAGTTTATCATTGAACCAACATCTAAAGGATAACATGGGGAAAGAAAAAACAAAGTTTAAAACCTTTTTCTTCTTGCTTCCTCTTCTTATCTTTTGGAACGAAAGTTCCCTCAGCTTTAGCTAAACAATCTGACTTTGCTTTTGCGTATTGTAAGCGCTGCAGTCAAAAGATCACATAAAAAGTAAGAAAGATAAGTCTCAACCTGATCAGAAGTAGTTGAATAGTTTACAAACACCCAAAGAGGTAAGATGTAGTTATACAAACGATATATATAACAAACAGATGAAACATTTTGACAGAAAACCTCAAAAGAGAATGTGATTGAGAAGGCCAATTAGAACAGCAACAAAATCAAAACACATGTATAACTAAAGATTGATTGCGAATAACACGTCAAAGGTTTCACTCTAAAATTACTGGTAATCACATAAACACAGTAAGGATTTCGGCTTTTAGCGCTTCAATCAATCTATACAACACATAGAAGATAACTTCCAGGGAAATTATAAAGAGATTGATATACTCAAGAGTGATGGACACTGACCATTGGCTTATCATAGAAGGGGAAATTTTGCATCTGACGAACGGCATTGCTAGCGGCTGTGACTTCACTAAACGTAACCCAAGCTTGTCCCCGGAGTTTCGGAGTCTTCAAAGCAACCACATCAAGTATCCTCCCAAACTGAGAGAACAAACAGTAAAGAGATCTCTTCAATTCTGGAAAACCAAAAACCAAGTCAGATAAAGCATGAGATTGATACTGCCCTAAGACACCACTAATTATCCATAGAATTGAAACTCAATGGCGAAAAAAGACTACATCAACATATATATCATCCTCAAAACCTCATCACTAGATTCAATAAGATTCTGAAACCCTAGAAGTTAGAAACAAACACTCTATAACAGCTAAAAACAAACAACAACCCTAACATTAAGTACTTTAGAAGCTTAATTAAGCTTGAATCATTGGTACACGAAGCTCATGGAGGTTTCAACTTTTGAAATTGACTCGACGATTTAGACAAGAGAGAAGAGAAATTTACCTTCTTTCTTGATCTTTTCGTTGAGGTTTTGGATGTAGATTGATTGATTCGGTGGTATATCTGCCGTTAACATCTTCGAGCGAGTGAGTGAGCTCCGCGAAGACGATGACGATTCACGAGTCTGAGGAATTTAGCGAGAGCCCTAATCGTGGGAATGAGAGAGACGAAGAAGAGTTTAGAAATAGCTGCGTTTCAATATCAGACAATGAAACGACACCGTTGCCGTTTGTTGGTTCGACAAAAAATTTTTGTACCAACGAGAATGAGCCGACCGGACAGACCGGATTGAATTTGACCGCATAGACCGAATTTGACCGGAAATCGAATGAGTGGTCGGATTGGGCTTTTATGAACTCTAGATAAAAGTTCCGCCAAAAGTCTTGTGAACCATTTTGATTCAAACGAAAATATTGACTATTGTTCAATAATTTTCTCTTTAAATAATGTAAATGATTTTCTTTTGTGTTTTGATTGTTTTGGCGATTTTAAACATTTGTATCTTTATAAATAGCGAATTAATAAACAGCAAAACCATATATCTGACTTAAAAGTGCAAACTTTTTCTGAATAATGACCTTAGAATCTCAATATTCTTGTGATAAGATTCATGAAACACCAGTTTATTTATACAAGATATAGATAATACCGAAATTTTTGAGAAAGGGCAAACTCATCGTATCTACATTTCACGTGTGAGCCGATTGAATCAAAAGGCATTGAGGATGCAATGTACTAAAATGCCTTTGTTTTTCTTTGTTACATTTTCCTTTACAGTGATAAAATCATAAAACAAATTGACGACTTTTCACTTTCATCCTTGAAGAAACGTGGCAACCATTGCGACTACTAGAGAATGATCGATGGATCCTGGAAATATCGTTAACCGGAACTTGCTTCTTCCTACATAAATCTGTCTCAGCTTGTACATCAAACTCGTCTGCCACCACATTTAAAGAAACATAATCAGATTGAGGCAAATTTTCAAGCACAAAGACAAACAAAATCTTTAAGACAAAGTATTAGAATCCAAGCAAATTCTACAAACCAAATAAAAAGGGGTTCTTTATGTTTCGACAACTGAGCTTTACCTATAACTAAATCTCACATATTTCATCAGCAAGCATGATCCAACCGATAACTTTTGAACCCGGTAATCCAAAAAGTATAACATGATCTTGACTATTGACTAGCTCTAGAATTTTCAATAGTGATGATATTTGATGTAATTGAGAGAAGATGAGTTTTTCTTACCTGAGCAACAATGGAATCTTGATTATAAATGGTACATGATTTCTGAAAGGGACAACCTTTGATAACAAGATGTTGTGACGATTCTCCTGCAAAAGAGACCTTTAACTCTGTCTTACTGAATTTGTTCGATGTCCGCTTCGCCGTTAGAACCAACTCCTTACGCTTTTCGACATCTCCTTTATGTAACTCCCACATTCCATTCTACATTACAACACATATACAAAGGTCTTAAAGTTACCTTAATAAGAATTGCAAAATCGGGATCAAAATTGAGGAATCAACGGAGGCTTACGTGGGGACGAGAGATGGAGAAGAGAGGAACACCGGAGGAATCAAGGAGAGATTTCAAGGAAGAAGAAGATTTGCGGAGGATGAAGACGAGATTTTCGGAAGAATCGGCAAATCCGAGATCGCCGGAGGAAAGTCCGGGAAGTTTCTTGGAAGCGAAGAGATCAACTGGTATTCGCCGGAGATCCTCAAGGTCGGGGTTATAGGGAGTCTCGGAATTCGCCATTCACATAGTCTCTCTAACAACTCAGAAGCGAAAAAGTAGACCAAGACAAGCTGCTTTTGTTCAACGCCAATTTGTTTTGTTTTGTTTTTCTACTTAAAGATCAGATAAATTTTTGCACCAATAAAATAATTCTTGTTTTTTTTTTTTGTTAATATAATGTAATAATAAATTCATAGAAGAATGATATATATATATATATATATCCTATACTAATATTTGGGAAGTACATCCTAAGGATCATAACTTGATTTTGTAAGAAATTACAATATATGCCATTAGAGAATTTTAATCATAAAATTTTATTCCATGTCACTAATATATATTAACGGGTCAACGGGTTTAAAGATATTAAAAGATTTTGTTTATATAATTCATATATTTTTCAATAATAACTATATTACACAATTAATATAATTCGAAATTGTTATATACTAATAAATTCGAAAATGTAACACAATTAGTAAAAATGTTGTATACTAATATATAATTCGAAAATGTGACACAAAAATGTTATTGAAAATGTTAATGAAAATGATATATCATTGAAATATTTTATATCAATTGACTTTATAAAAAATGCTATTTTGAATTATAATACTCATATAGTTCGAAAATGTTATTGAAAATATTATATACTAATCCATTATTTGAAAATGAAAATGTTATTCAAAATGTAAAATTCAAAATTTAAAATGTTATATCATTGAAAAAAATGTTACCGTATTTAAATGATTTTTTCTAGGATTTAAAATTCAAATTTCATTATGTTGGCAAAAGAAAATCAGATCCTACATGAATCAGGACTCTTTAAACTAATTACCGTAACTTGTGTGAGAATTATTCTTCACAATCTGTGTTATCTACTACTTAAAAGATTGCATATTACCATATGTATTAATCGAAGATTTGATTATGATATTACAATTATTGTTAGCATTTAAGTTTTAATGTCCATTTTTTTTGCAGAAGTATCTTACCAAACAAGATTTACATAGCAATATGGAATATATAAAATGAAAAGTTAGGTGAAGATCCGATTTAATATTTCCGGTGCAAATGAGTAAGATATTCAAAAATTACTAATATAGAAAAGTAATACATTAAATTTTGTATTTATAGGACAAATTCAAGCTTTGCATTTTTTATTAATGAGTGTAAACTAATAAACATTTTTTTTTGTTTTGGAAACAAATATTAATTAGATTTGCACTACTATAATTATCGTAATTGTGATAATGCGTGAAACTATTTTTATTGAATAAATAAAAAATTGTTACGATTATAATAAATTTACTATTTTCTAATATTTCATCATCATAAATTACATATGCAATTAAGATTTAGATTTTCTTGGTAAATATTTAATCTACCAAAACGTAATTCAAGAAACAACCATATATATATTATAGACTATAGGTAGATAAGAAAAACAACCATAGATTAAAAAAATATAAATTGATATACTTAAATAAATAATACCAAAATCGTAATGAGATAAATAAAATAATTATTTGTGAATATTCTCACCGTGATATCATTTATTTGTTTAGATTTTTTTGCGTCTAAACCTAAATTGTGTAACACCATATTTTTCTCTATAAATAAAAGCTCGATTGCTATCAAAGTAGTTTCATTATTGCATTGTTCATTGTTTACATAATCTATATTAATATCGATGATTACTAATGTGAATAATGTTTGTGTACAGCTTTTAAAGCGGCGGAGTAGCCATGGTGCACTAGTGGTGGTGATGCGTTGCTCTCCCTTCAAACCTAAGGTGTGTAACATGTAATCGACTTTTTGTCGTCGTTGAGCATTTTTTAATTTTTTTTGAAATTATTATTCTAAGAAATTAAGGTATTGATTATCTCGAATATTCAAACTATATTAGATGAGTCATTTTAATCTACTGTTGAATAATTAGCGTTACGAAAAAACATTTGATCGATTTCATGGCTTAATTATTTTATCACAACTTCGAAAGGTTATGGTGGTGCAACCATACATGCGGCAAAGTGGATGGTTTTAGTGGTGACGGGTTATTTGTTATTGTTATTTATTATATAATAATATATATTTCTTACTTTTAAAAAGTTTCAAAATATAAAAAATATTTTAAAAAATTAAAAATCAATTATTATAAATGTTTGTAATTTTTTGAAAGGTAAATACTATAATTTTTTAAAGTTTATAAAACGTTAAAAATATTTATAATTTTATAATAATTAAGAATATATATATTATGGAAACTATTTGAAAGCAAACTTTTAAATTGATTTGAATTTCTCTTTTAAATAAAAGTATTATTGTCTTTTAAATAAAAGTATTATTAAAACAAAAAACAACAAAATGATGTTTAACTTCACGAGACGGAGTTAGATGGTAGGACGTGTTTGGGTCGATATTAATATGAGACGATATAATACAGGTGATATTAAACCAATGGGTCAATGGAGCTTCCACACCAAATCAATCTAATACAACATTATATCCAAATAGTAATAAAAATCGTATACTATTATCTGGCATAACTTGCAAACTATATTATTATACTATTTTATCATATTATATCTTCTAACAAATTATATAATTTGATTCATACAAAATATTTAATCCCGTGATGTATAGCACGCGTCATGATCTAGTATATATATATATATTAGGTTAGAAAAACGTATGGTCTAATATATTTGTTGGAAAAAATACATTTTTAGTGAACATACCTTTGACATGAATTTGATTTAAAAGGTTTCTTCTCTTCTTCATTCATCTCTCTCAAATGTTTTCTTTTCTGATACTATTGATAAAGGACATACAAGCGATGTACCAATCTTTGGTTAGTTTTGTTTATCGGTAATTTTGATTCACAGCCTTTACATTAATGGTCTTCACTGTCTCTCAAACATAATCTTCATTTGCTACACAAGATTCACCGGTAAGACCATTTAGTAAGATTCAAACTCCTCGTCGCTCTCCCTATAATCATTCACATCCTCTTCGTAATCATCAAACTCGTCATCTCCAAGGACCCTTCTCACATGTCTTTGTGAAGTCTCCTCGTCGTCTGAATCATCAGAGGCTTCACTCTTTTCTTTTTCTGTTTCATCATCATCATCATCATCTTCTTCTTCTTCTTCTTCCTCGTCATCTTCGGAGATCTCTTCTGGGTAATCGGTCTTTGGATGATCTTCAGCTGAGCACACAAATATATAAAGAAATAGTAAGTATTCCTTCTTTCTTAACTTTCAGTTTATCGACACCGAGTGAAGCAATAAATCAACAATGCCAATGATAATTGTTTTCAATGTTAACTCATTAAGAAAAAAATATATCAAGAGAAAAGAGATTGTACTACTATCAAATGAAAACAATGCCCTTATTTGATTCTGCTTCCGAAAGACTAGCGAGTACTAGCACGAACAAGAGTGTTGAAAAGTAAACGAAATACAAAACCAGCACTTCAAGGAGGGTCTAAGAAGTTAAATAAGAGTGGAGATAAGCATATGGATGATAAAAGTGTACCGTTTGAATCTTCAGAGTCAAAGTCTGATTCATCAGATCCATCACAGAATTCTTCTTCATCCTCTACTATGACACTGAAAAAAACAAAAAAACAAAAACCAACAACCCATATTAACAGGTGACACAAGCGATAAAGACGAAAACGTAAAGGACCTCCCGCGAAAACGAATACGCACAGAGGAAACTGATTCTTGGTACTATCTTCGCTGATATCCATCTCTTCGTTCACAGCATAATAATCATAAACGTATTCTTCGTTGTGACTAGATTGTATATCAGCTTCAATCTCTTCAGCTGCTGTTGGAATACATTCTCTAAGGAGAGGCAAGAAACTAGCGAGCATTTTCTGGTCCTCCAAGGATGTAAACCTACAGAAAGAGTGCACCTTTAAATAATGTCTCTTAAACCACAGCTAATCTATTTCTGACTCTGAGATCTTAATTACAAATGCACATTACTAGGGAACTTACTCTTGTTCACTGTCTTGTCTTTCTTCAGCATCAACACGAATAACGTCAAAGAAATGACACCTATCATGGATGCCTTCCTTGTTTCCCTTCCTACTCCGCCATATTTGCTCAAATCTAGCATTCTTTGCAGCAATCTAACAGATAGTGGAACTTTTTATTAAATGATTACAGAAGTCTCAAGTTAGCTATGTAAAATGGTACTCGATCTTCTCCTAAGGTGCTAGTCTCAGAGAAACTGTTTGAGAATGTTCTTGACCAATAACCAGATACCTGTTGCTGTTGTACAGATTTGGTCAGGCGCTGTTCCTTTCTCTACAGGCCAAAAAGAAAAGGAATTCAAGCCATCATTCGAGCAACGGTCAAGAGATAGACAATCTGGAATCATGACTAAAGCAAAATGAAACAAGTTACATTGTCTTTCTTGAAAGCAAATTTCCGCTCCTCAGACTTTCCTTTGCTGCAACTTTTCTCAGTAAGATCAGACTCCTGCAGAGCACAAATGACGACTATAAGAACATACAAACAACGACTATAAGAACATAGAAACAACGACTAAGAAAGTAAACTCACAAAGAGAGAGTGGATAATGTCAGCGGTGGTTTCAGAGTCCGTGACTGTCTCCAAATGCCGCACTAGCACCTTCTTCGGTTTCACATCCTCTGCCACAGAAGGACCTATATCCACGTAAACAATATTAAAGCTTCCCTGAATCCAAACCATAATCATACAAGCACAAAAATCCAGAGATAATATAGAATTACCTCTCTCACCCGAATCTGAAATAGATAGCTTTGATAAACCCAGAGTGGGCCGTTTGAGTGGTTTTTCATTTATCTCCAACCCTAAATGCCAAAACAATATCAGTTTTTCCCCTTCTACACGATTGCTAAAGACAGAGATCCAACAGAACTTCTACCAAAGATCAAAGAGAGAGAGAGAAGAAACTTACAGAAAGCATCGAGCAGAGACTGTCCAACTTTTCGCTTAACTCTTACAATCACAGGCTTTTCTCCTACCTCATTTTGAGTCGAAGAGCTTTCACCCACCACATCCATGGCTATTTCAAGAACTCCTCACCCCACTGTGAGGTTCGTTGTAAACAAAACAAAACAAAAATATAAACTTTCAATTCATTCGTTTAAAGGGAATTTGGAGATAAAGAAAACCATGTTTAACATCCAGAAACCCATGTCAAAGAGCAACAAACACACTAAGGTGAAAACAAGAAAAAATCTCACCTTTCAGAGTTTGGTTTCTTCACATTTGTATCAGAAACTTCTAACGCACATTTACAGGTAAAGTATATGCTCTACTATGGAAACAAAAGAATGAAAACCCAGAAGATTTCTCTAAGAACAGGTAAACATAAAGGTGACAACTTGCAGAACTAATTTAAAACCCTATTGAGGAAATTAGAACCCAGACGATTTCTCTAAGAACCCTAGACATAGTTACTTGAGTCTACAGCCGAGAAAATCAGTTTGTTCTGTAGATAAAGAAGAAATAAGAAGAACAAAAACTGTACCGTTCGATTTCAAGAACTGCGTTCGGATGAAGATGTTGTCGGAGAAGAAGAAACTCGATTTCAGTAATAAAGAAAAGTGATTTTGGAGACGGAGAAGATACAAAACGCAGTCGTTTTATTTTTGTCAAAAACGTCGGCGTTTTAGAAGATGGAGTAAATTAGGCCCAAACCGTCAAAGCCCATTTATTTTTTCCAAAAGCAAAATATGGCTTCAGAAATCTATCTCTCTTCAGAGATTTTTGATTTGGCTAAAATCAGAGTTTTGAAACTTTTGAGATTAAAAAGTTTATAACTAAAAAACAGAAACATAATTTATGATAACAAAAATAAATTAAAATCTGAGTTAAGATATTTTGCATTTTCTCTTTAACATTGCATTGTTAACCCATTCTTAAGTTTTAACTATTTGGTTGTGTGTACATGATGTTTATTAATAAATGAACACTAAAAAATGACAAATATATAAAACCGGCCCACAGTATCAGATGGACTTGACTAATATGGTTTTATAGTGTTTGAATCTGTGATTTTAAAATAACAAAAACTTATAATCAAGAACTCTTGAGATCAAATTTTGAAGTTTGATGCTGAATTTGGTGAACACATTGTTCTTACAACTCTAGTTGAGAAGAAAGTTGAGTGTTGGGATGGTTATCGAGAGGCATATATTGCGCCATTATCGCTCTTATCTCTGAGTCCATATATGTCTGCACACACACAAATTAATCAAAAATTGTATATCTAATATTAATGAACAAGTAATATAATGTTTTGAGATATATAATTACCCGAATTCTGTATTTATAAACAGTGTAAGCTCCTAAAGCAGCTGCACCTAATCCCATTATTATTATCCATATCACTCCCCAACTTAAATCTCCTCTTGCATCTTTGTCTGTACACAAACTAATGATTAGTCGATGATTCGTTTATTTCGAAAATATAACCAATGATGGTGTAATATACTTATGCAAATGTCGTGTTCTCTGATGTAAAGCAAGCTTCCGCTGCAACTACATTCATAGCTTCCCCATGTGTTCTTGCATTTGCAACCGCGACATTGACACGCTGTTTTCTCCTCACACTCATTCACATCTGCATTTCATGTACATCAAGATAATTTGATTTGAAAATTTAAATGTTTTATAGTTTATTCTTATCAAGACCTTGGCAGTCTTTGAGTCCATCTCCTTTGAATCCGGGGGGACATTTGCAGCCTTTCGAATGATCATCCTAGAACAACATAAAGAGAGGAAAAGAAAATTAATACTAAAACAGAAGATGAAAGTTAGTTAATCGAGAGATCGTGAAGATTACACGGCAAGCAGAATATGTTTTTCCCATTTGAGTTTGTTTCCAACACCCTCCATTGTTTATACCACAACGTAGTGCCCCGGAAGCTACAATATCCAAATTGAAACATGTGAAACTTATAAATCGGATTTAGTAATCTTCGAAAATATATATAGTTGAACTTTTTTACCTTCACAATGTGTATAACCGTCACCTAGAAACTTGACACCTTGAACAATGGGACATTGACATACTCTTCCTCTGAAAGTGTCCTAAAACATTACAAGAAAATAATACTCATTTTAAGGTTTGATATAATTGTAACAAAACACAAGTGATTGTTTTAGTACCCTGCAAGCTGTAATGTTGGTTGTCTTATCTTCCCAACACCCTCCGTTGTTTTGTAAACACTCATTGGTTTCTATGTCTACTCAAACACAAAATCCAAAACCATACATTAACAATTATTATACTAAATGGAAAATGTATATTAAGTAAAAAGAACCTTCGGTTAAACAAATTGGTGGCTCAGTCGTCTCACGAAACCCTGAGCAAAGAGCCTTAAGCACGGCCGATCTCTGCAACTTCCCTGTGGCAATGAGACATTAATTACTAAATATTTGAGTGTGACATTAAAAATTTTACTTGCTTCTAACCTCTATATTGTCTATTGTTTATCACAATAGTTGGTAGTATCGTCACATCTCCTCGCGGACCTTTTCCAACCTAAAACAATTATGCAAAAAATGCAAAAGTTTAGACCTTTAGTAGTTTGAATGCTTACATCTCTTGAAAAAAGAGAGGCTAACTTGTGCATCTTGTTCTTCTTTAAGAACGGGATTTTCGGTATTTGCTTCAATGTCTCCAATGCATTTGTCAATTTTCTTCACATCAACTCCTACTCGAAAAACATAGAATAAGGTCTCAAGATATTAAAAGTACAATATGTTAGGGTTACCAAGAGATTGAATGACTTGATCAGCACATTTCTTGTTGTATTTCTCCTCTTTCATGGGACAACGAATGGCGAAGTCGGTGACGTAATCCCACCAAAGCCAAGGCTTTCCACTTTCATTGGTCACTCTAAAGAAGCAAGCTTGGCGTAAATTTTGAATAATTACGTCTTTCCCATTGTATCCTCTAGAGAAATCTTGTTCCGGGTCGGGAGCACAATATCTTCCATTGATGCATTGTGATTTACATTGTCTACTTGCCAGAAATGCTTCAGGACAAAACCTTTATATATCGGACATTCAAAAAAAAAAATTTATTTCAATATGATGAATGTTACTAGACATGTTAGAAGAGAAGATAGTGAGTGAATTACCATGTAATGTAGTGGGGAGTGAAGCGAGTGTAGCCTCCTTTCTCAAGAATCTGAGCAGCTCCTTTGAATCTCTTAAGAAACTGGATCTGTGCGTCACATTTGGATCCGCATTCATCATTGCTATTGGTCCATAGCTCGTCAGCTACTCGATCGTTTGGGTGTGGAAGAGCCTCCCGCCAGTCTAGACTTATATGAACGGGCTCGCCATGAGCTATGGCCGTTTTGATGGCACTCCCTAGAGATCTGCTCACCAATGCTGAAGGAATTGTGATATTTTGTAGGTAATCTGCATCTGACGTCTCATCCTCTGGTGCGTCCATGGTGATGAGTTGCTCAGGCCTGTTATCCGCTACCAAGATGGTTGCGGCACCAGCTCGTTGTGCGTTCCACGCCTTTAAAGTGAAGTAACAATCTGAGACAACAACATATATATTAGGTGCCTTGTTTTACAAGTCACCACTTACAAATTTCCTGTGTGACAAGTCTTGTCTTTGATTGTAACAAAATAATCAAAGAGGAAGAGGAAAAGACCTCCTCGATCAACGAGAACGAATGTGGGCAATCCAGCGAGTCTGGATCGGAAAGAGATCTCAAAATCGTCAAAGTTCTTGCAACCTTTCTGGTTAGCTTTAGGATAAACCACCGCACCGGACATGCTTCCCCCGTATTGAGGGACGCCAAAATTTCCGAGGGCGCATTCGTAGACTCCTCTGATGGACTCCGGTGAAGTCACTCGGAGGTTGTTCTTCTCCACAACGAACCTCCCCGTGCAGGAACTCCACCCCATCACCCATACTATTACAACTAACCGTACATTCTTCGCCCTCATGATCACACAATAACTTTTTTGAGAGTTGATTTTGAAATACGCATCAATGGATAGCCAAGAAAATGTTCAAAAAGCTTCGCTTGACCAATCATTAAAGAATTGAAACTGTCAAAACAGTGAGCAAATATCTCAGAGTTAGAAGGAAGATTTTTAGATTTTGTTTTAGAATTTTTGTTTCAAAAATCCAAATATACTAGTTTTTGGTCTTAAAAAAATGAAATCTATACTAATAATAGGAGTCGTTAGGCCTAAGAGAGTCTACGCATAGATTTTCAAGCTTCTTATAAGGGGAAACTCATCAACAAAATAGTTATATGATCCATGATAGTTAATAATTCTCCTATTTTTTTTTTCTATTTCGATTGAAGAATAAAACACATGGGCTCTATTCATAAGAAAATATGTTATCCCCTTACTACAATTGTATAGGTAAAACTTCTTCAAATATCTAATGATGATCTAGTTCATTCTTATGTGAGTAATACAATTTTTTTATTAAATCGCAGAGTTCCGGACCTTTGGCCTAGGCCTGGGATAATTACCCGAACCGAAAATTCCGACCCGACCGAACCGATAAAATTAAATTCGGTTCACAATCGGTTACTACACAAAAACCGATCGGAAGGATTTCAAATAATCTTCGGTTTTCTCATCGGGTCGGGTCGACACTCAGCCTCCAACCTCTCTGACCTTTGGTCGTTCTCATCTCTCAATTTTTCTGTCGCAACCTAATCTCTCTGAGACATTGAAGCTCAATCTTGTCTTCTTCCTTCAATCTCAGCATTTCTTATGTGTTCATCTTTCGTTCTAGCCTTATAGGCAAAGGTTAGTTCGATTATTCCTTGTTTTCAAACTCTTGTCCGTTTTCATCCCTCGTTCTCAGTTTGGGTAAGGATTTGAGATTCAAGATCTAGGATGTCAAACCGTCGTTCTTCTCCGCCGCTGGAACCGCAACTAGAGCCGCCGCTGGAACCGCAACTAGAGCCGCCGCTGCAACCACTTCAAAGAATGAGAAACCCTAATTGTCTAGGGTTTATGGGCTTATATTTCTTGTGGGCTTTGTTTTTGTTGGGTTTTAATTAATACCCAAAATAATTTTTGTGGACTTTAGTTAGATTTAAAAGCCCATAAAAAACAAAATTTAAGAAAGAAAAATAAATTCGGTTATTTTCGGGTTTTATACACAAAACCGAAATAACCCGTTTCCGAACCAAACCGAACCGAAATCAGTTTCGGTTATCATCGAATACATTTAAAAAATCAAAATTAACCCGAAACCCGAAAATACCGACCCGACCCGACCCGTTTACCTGAACTCGCAGGCCTACTTTGGCCCATAATCTTTCTCAGTACCCCAAACCAGCTTTTAGTCAATTCCACTTTAAAAAATGTTTCTCTATCCCAAATGAGGATTGAACTCTAATGTGTGACAAAAAAAACTTGTTTAATAGTAAGTAATAATATCGAAAAAGAGCTTCATTTTGAATGTTTCAATTAAGGTAGTTAGAAAATGTATCGAGAAGCTCTTGCTAGCCATGTTTTCCAGCGCCGGTGAAGCTTTGGCTCGCCGGCGTCGGGATTTCGTTCTTTCTCTCGTCTTCTTTCGCAATCTCTATTTCGCTTTACTCTTACTTTGGCTCGTATCTCAATCATCTCGAAACTTTCATAAATCTTCTCGAACCCCTTTTCAATCGAACACTCAATCGATCGTGGCAGAAGACGGAGGAGTTTTCCGGTGACCCTCTTCCAGATTCAGGCTCTGCCCACACTTCCTATCGCGAAGCTTTTACCTCAAGATCCACATCAAGCCCTCAGATCTGAAAAAAACGTATCTATGCAGAAGCTTCCCTCCACCGGATTTCGTTGATGGCAAGAGTCTTCCCTCTTGGACCGTCAGTTGCACCATGTCCGGTGGAGGCGTCGACGGTGCACGGCGCTGCCCTAATCAAGGTAGAGAGCTGTTGTTGGGCTAAACCGGAGATCCGAGGGGCCTCGCTCTCTGCTCCGGAACCCTGTGGCATCTTATCCTTGCCGCTGCCATCCTTTCCGGTGATGTTGTGCACTATTCCGATCTGGTTTTCGTCGCCGCACAGCCGCAAGACCAACACCCACCAAGACAAAGGAAAACTAGGGTTTCACCTAGTGGGTTTCTATCTCAATTCAGGCCCATCTGGAAATGTCTGGTCCCATTTTAGAAGAAATGGGTTTAGTTCTAAAAGCACAAAGCCCAGGTCTGTCCTCTTATGTCTAATATACGGGAAAACGGCATTTTTCAACCTCAACTATTTGCTGGCGGGTTTTTCCAACCCAAACTATGACCCCTAGTCGATTTTAACCCAAACCCAAAAATAATTCAAAATCGAAACCTGAACTAATGCAAATGAGCCGATTTCAACACGACGCGAAACGGTGTAGTTCGAAAGTTAACGGTTGCTCAACCTTGGATAATTTTCTCTCTACAACATTCATCAAACCTTGAAAATAAAATCAAATAACCTGGAGAACTGTTAACTTCTGAACTAACATTGTTTCGCGTCGTGTTGAAATCGGCTCATTTACATTCGTTTAGGTTTTGATTTTGAATTATTTTTGGGTATGGGTTGAAATCGACTGAAGATCATAGTTTAGGTTGGAAAAACCCGCCAGCAAATAGTTGAGGTTGAAAAAGATCGTTTTCCTGTCTAATATACAGCCAACTGTTGGTGTCGGATCCCGCACCAGATGTTCGGGACCAACCAAAGATTGCCACCTAGTCAGGGTAACGGCCCATAAAGGATAAAGCCCATTAGATCCACAAGTCAAAAGAACAGTCGAAGTGGTTATCACCATAAGGAGAATCCGAAGTGACTGCACCTCAACACCATTCCGGAGACGAAGTCATGGTTAAATTGGTCCAAGGACATTTGGGCCAAAAGGCGAGGCCCATGAAGATCAGGATCAATTCAAATTCAAACGTTGAGCATTAAAAAGTCAAAGATCAAAACGGACACATTTAAGAGAGAATAATTGTACTTAATTAGCCAATTAAATGCTGTTTTTCTATGTATAAATATAAGGGCCAATGGCCATGTAAGGGGGATCTCTCTCGGGAGTAAGAAATACTACAGCAATTCTTGTAACAATTCATAAGCTTTTTTACATATTTATTTTTGCCCCTCAAGAATAATCTTTCCTACTTAATAAAATACTTGAGTGTGTGAATCCGACATCCACATTTTGGCGCCGCCTGTGGGGATAGAAGATTCTTGAGTGGTCAGATTTTTCCTTACTACATTTCCGAGATAAGCAGCAATGTCCGGAGGAGACGCCGTTGAGTCATCATTGGCCGAGACCCTCAAAGCTATGCAACAAACCATGTTGGACATATCACAAAAGTTCTTGGATGTGGAAAAGGCCGTCGACACATTACAAACATCCCAGGTATCTCTTAGTCAAAACGTCAGTACTATACAAACTCGTGTTCGTTCCTTAAGTGCAGGAAACCCTGTGGGTATCCGAAGAAGGATACTCAAATCGCCAAGTTCCGCTGCGCAAAATGAAACCAGAGGACAAACAACTCCTGGTGCTACTAATAATGAAGTTCAGCCATTGGAGGAAGAGACACAACTTGAAGATGAAGTTCAACTTGTAGATCAATACGAGCAGGAAAACCTCGACCAGTTCAAGACTATGAGGAAGGTTAGCCAAGAACCAAAAGAAATGAAGTCAAAGTTCCATCAGGCTACAAGTTCAGAACCGGATATCAATCGAGTCATTGAAGAAGCTAGGCGAACACCTTTTGTTCCGCGAATCGCAAGTTTAAGAATCAAAGATTCTCGGAAGCTCAAGTTGGACCCTTACAGCGGATTAGAGGATCCGAAGAGCTATCTCGCAGCTTTCCTGATAGCTGCCGGAAGAGTCAAATTGGATGAAGCCGATGAGGATGCATGATACTGTAAGCTCTTTTTGGAAAATCTATGTGGCCAAGCTCTAATGTGGTTCACCCAATTAGAGCCGGCTTCGATCAGCAATTTCGACAAACTATCAGCTGTGTTCTTAAAACAATATTCCATCCTTATGGACAAAAGTGTTTCGGATGCCGATCTTTGGAACCTGTCACAAGGATCAAATGAGTCACTTCGAGTTTTCATCACCAAGTTCAAAGGAGTGCTGTCTAAGCTCCCAAGAATCTCACAACAATCAGCTTTATCTGCCTTACGAAAAGGATTGCGACATGATTCAAGATTTAAAGAAGATTTAATACTTCATAAACCAGACATAATTCAGGATGCGCTCTTCCGCGCAAACAACTGGATGGAAGTAGAGGACGAAAAAAGAAAATTTTGCCAAAAGAAATAAGCAAGAAAAGTCGGCAATTACCGTCCCTACCAAGAAGTTCGAGCCTAGGGAGAGCAAAGGACCAAGGAAGTTTGGATCGCAACCCTTCAACAGTACCGTCGGAAAGAAATTCCAAGGTAAAGGAAGGTCAATCACTTGGGTCCGTGATGAAAGTTTATATTGCGACATTCATAAAGTAACCGGACATTTAACCAAGGATTGTAATGTCCTTAAAAAGCACCTCGCGGAACTTTGGGCCAGTGGAGATCTTCCAAATCGATATAAAAGATTTTGTGAAAGAATACCACGGAGCAAAGGAAGGCTCCAAAGATCAAAATTCCAAAAGACCAAGGTTAACCAACGAGGAAGAACCAAGGAGTTCGAAGGGTAAGATCAATGTTATCCTAGGAGATTCCAAATTTTGTCGAGATTCGATAAGTTCCATCAAAAAACATAGGCGAAATGTTTTACTCAAAGCAAGTTTGAGTGAAGAAGTCGATTTTCAAGGTGCATCAATATCATTTGACGAAGAAGAAACGCGGCACCTCGAAAGACCTCATGATGATGCATTAATCATTACCCTGGACGTTGCTAACTTCGAAGTATCAAGGATCCTTATAGATACAGGCAGTTCGGTCGACTTGATCTTTTTAAGTACTTTAGAAAGAATGGGAATTAGTCGGGCGGACATAGTAGGGCCTCTATCTCCATTAGTTGCGTTCACAAGTGAGTCAGCCATGTCTCTCGGGACAATCAAGCTACCGGTCCTTGCCAAACGGGTGTCAAAGATCGTGGATTATGTTGTCTTCGATAAGCCCGCGGCTTACAACATCATCCTCGGGACTCCCTGGATTTATCAAATGAAAGCAGTCCCCTCTAC